TCCTGGAGAATGAACTGTGCTTTCCTAGATAAAACTAGGGGGACCGTCATCCTATTGCCGAGAATGCTTTCGGGTCTTCGGAAGGGAAGGGAAGGTGTAACTCCAGATGCTCGCACGAGAAGCCCCAGATGCGGAACAGAAAGGTGGTTTCTAAGATCACAACATGCTCGCACTGCAATCCTGTTGTGGGTTTGGAACTGGCAGTTCGGAACTCCCAACACCTGCGCCGTGCATCATCGTTATTGGGACACTCGTGTGCATTAGTCAGTCCTTGCAACATCTTCCCGAGGGTGGACACCTGAAACCAAGGGATGAGGAAACGCCATGGGCACAGGGAGGTTAAATGGTGATTCCAAGCGAAGGAGTGGCCTGGTTGCACATTGAACCTGGGGTCTCCAATCTTGGACTTGACCCCGTGATGCCATTCTTTCCAGCTAGGCAAAACAGAACTGTAGAGCTGGGGGCAAACCCTAAGTACAAAGAAGAGTAAGGTTGCCCCACAAGTTGCATGAATTGCTGGGTGTCGTGTCACTGGCTAATGGCAAAGCTACGCGTGGGACTGAGGGTCCTTTGCCTTGCTCCCAGCAAGCCTGCAGGACGGGGTCGTAACTCGGGGGAAGAAAGCATGTTTTCCATTTCAGATAACATTCAGAGCCACTGACCTGGCTTCTTAGAGACTGAGCAACACATTTAGAGGTGTTCCCAACGTTTGCTTATGGCACCATTCTTTCTGGAAGTATGGTTTCCTCTAACGAGCTTGTTTCATGGAATAAAAGACACGTCAGACACAAAATAACTCCCGGACGTCTGATAAAGAAAATATTGAGGGCCTCCAGTGTTCCTTGTCTGACTTAAAATCTTCCTACTCAAAATCTAAAATCTTTCTGGTTATTGTACATCTTGCTTGGGCTTCTTGTTAAACATCGGAAGTTGTAATGGTTGACGACTACTGTTCTAGAGATAGCATGACTTTTTTCAACTAACTTTTTTCTGCTTCTCAAGGTAATTCTATCCTGCGTATAGAGGATTTGGAAACCAGAAAAGTATAAAGAAGAAAGTAAAAAATTGCCTATATTTCCATGATCTCAAAATAACCACTGTTAACATTCTCTTTGTTACTTCTTTTTCTTCCTTTTTTTTTTTTTCTTTTTAGGTAGTCTTCACTACCTCCCAGCATGGAGCCCATCGTGGGGCTTGAACTCACGACCCTGAGTTCCAGACCTGAGCTGAGATCAAGAGTTGGACGCTTAACTGACCGAGCCACTCAAGCACCCCCCCCTTGTTATTTTTTAACGCATATTCGTAAATACAGGCATAGACTTTTTGGCATGACTGAGATTACATATTATACATAAGGGTCGGCACCCTTCTGTTGATTGTTTTTTAAAGATCAAAAAATTATCAAACCTATCTTATCAGCGAAGGATAATCCAATGTCATCAGCAATTTACTACAGCTCAGAATTTGAGTCAGATGCATTGGATTTCAAAGGTAAATAGAAATCTGGTTGGACAACTTACATCTTAAAGAAAAGGAAAAAAAAAAAGAACAGAGAGAATGAAGAGGGAGAGAGAGAGAGAGAGAGATGAAAACAACAGTATGTTGCCCCAGGGGGAATCTTTTGATTTGCAGCTTTCAAAGGCAACATCTGTACTCATCAGTTTTGAATGGACTTGTGTTATTCTCTCAAGTTCCCTATAATCAGTCTTTCACACAGAAAAATAAGGAGAAATCCACCAAAAGCAGTGGAATCTGGTCCCTTGGTATATCTGGAAGGTATACAACAGCACTCCCACTAAGGAAAGTCATTCCCTTCCATACATCAGCCTGAAACAGCATTTAACAACCCGTGTTCGGTTCCTCCGCCTGTCCCCACACTCCCAAAGTCTCTGAAATCTACAGCTAAGCGATTGCAAGTTTATGTGCCTTGACCACTGCTTTTAAAATACCCCCTGGTTACGAAAAGTGCTTCATAGACAGAATCCCGAAAGAACCCAGGTTATAAAGAATACTCTCTCTTCCTGGGAATAAAGCCGAGGGAGGAAATACTATCAGCCTGGCATAGTCTCAAGCTAATTATGAATTTGGCTTTGGCTACCTAGTCCAGAAAGGTTTCTGCAGTTGGCGCTGGTTACGCATTGAGCCAGCTGGAGTCTGTGCAAGGGGGAACAGTCCCATCAAGTTTGGGAACCAGAAGGACCAGGCTGGCCTAGCTGGGCTGCTGTCCTCTAGCCTCTCCCAAATGATGGCCTTGGGATCTCTTTATTGCCTTGTGTGGAGACAGCCCTCATAGGATGCTCTTACCATTAGCACAGACACACCATTCCACCTGCAGGTGGCTCAGGTGGATTTTTCTAGGCTTTTCTGAGAAGAACGCAGGGAAGTTTTTCTAGAAGGACAGCTCTCTGGTGGAGACAAAGGTAAGTAGAACAGCCTGTTGCGTCAGTACCGTGTTGGAGAAACAGATTAGGCTTTGGAATTGGGCAATTGGATAAGTTACTTAGTTAGCCTTGATCGACTGCTGGCTTCCCATCTGAAAACAGGGAGCGAGGGTGCGTAATGATGTCCACCTTTCAGGCTCATCCTGCGGGTGAGAGAGAGCCTGGGGCACCAAAGAGGGGGCTTGGAAGCTGTGGTGTGCTCAGCGAATGTTCCCTTGACTTCCCTCTCCCTCTGTTGTCTTAGATGTCCCATAGGTCTTTATACCCTAAGTGTGGGCGATTATACCAGTGGCTCAGCGATGCCCAGCATATTTCCCCATGGGCTCATCTACGTCTTCCATCCAGCCAATACCCTTGTGATTCAAGGACAGCCATCGGGACGGCTTTCACTCTTTCACTGGATAAACTAAGGCCGTGAATTCTCACGGTCTCCTTGCCCAAGTGCACACGATTAAGGAGAACACCAGTCTTCCTTTGCCCGTTTAACCGGTTGTTATTGTTGTTTTCAGTGTCTGCAAGGCAGTGAGGGGAGCGCAAACATACATGAGAGTTTTCAGTCCAGCGATGGAGAAAAACTAGCTTGGTAAACAGAAGTTTGAGTAGTCCCAACTCCCTACGGTCTGAATACAAAGCTCTGGGCAGGATGTGATACCTGCATAAAAATGAGGTAAGAGCGTTCAAGAATGTCATGATCCTCGTTTCACAGATGAAGAAACAGGCCCAGGGAGGTGAAGTGATCTAATCAAGAGCCCAGTTAATGGTAGACCTGGAACTTGAACTTCATTCTTCTACCCCTGAGTGCATATTGCTCAACAAGGTCTATGCCACCCTCCACTGCCCTGTCCCAAGAACCAGTCACTAGCATTCCATCTGTGACTATGTTCCTGGTGGTTCTACTCATTAGCTGAGTGAACTTGACTTTGGTGGGCTGCAAAACAGGGATAAAAACGGAACCTGTCCCCTAAGGTTTTTCTGGGGACTCCATGATATGGCACAGTGACCGGCCCCTATTAAGTAATTGATCGAGGTTGCCATGGGTATTAGCCACGGCCAACACTCTCTGTGTCTTTTCCTTCCTTTGTCTCTCCTTTCCAAGTTCCTTTTTCCCCTCACAGGGTTCTTTTGCAAGATACCGATTCTGCCCTCTTGTAAACACATGGCTCATTTGTCACTCATGCGTTCAGTCACTTCAAACATGTCTTTGATGTAGTTAGCCTTGGAGGAAGCAGAGCACAGCAAGTGCTCCGGGACGAGGCTACAGCAAAGAGCCACGCAGGGGGTGGGGCTCTGGCTGTGGAATCGAGAGGATCCGACCTCACCTCCCAGTTCTGGCGTGTATTAGCTGTGCCCTTGCCGAGTACCCCATCTTCCCGA